CTGAACTAAGCCAAGATAAATTTATACCTGATACTTAACTACTAGTTAACTATTAAATTGTCAAAATCATAGCTTACATAGTCCCAAGACTTATCCAGAAATTGCTTTAGATTTAAAACATGCCATCTGGACCTTAGACTTGGTATTGCCAGAGGATATGGTTCAAAGATAATGAAATGGGAATTTTTAAAACCTGAAGATAAAAATTCTAATTTTTGAAAAATTACAGTAGCTTCCCTCACAATAAGATATACAACCTTCCAAAAAGCAAACTCCTATAAAGTACAAATCATACCATCACTTATTAATTGGCTCTGTACCACAAAATACAGAATTTTTTTCACATCTATTTCAGAAACAGCTAATTTTGGAGTCCAGCACAATACTGAAAAGAAGTACTTGTCTTTAAGGCTACATTTACAAAACAGAAATACCTATGAGTGGACATTTGAAATAATTTTATCCACATAAACTCACCTCCAATAACAGAGCAGTTAGGAAGAGGAATTAAACTTAATCGTAACCTAGGATACAAAATAACACTGAGAGAAGCAAACCGACTTGGGAGCACGGCTAACGGAAGGTGCCGGCTTTACTAGCATGTGGTATAAGCAATTCCAGATACCTATGGTAGATAACAATTATTTTCCCTCTTTCTCTTTTTTTGCTGATAATATTAACACTAAAGTGGCTTAGTAAGTGTAAAGTCTAAAAGGGAACTACAATAGTGTGTGTGTACATACTGCAAAAATAAGCACATACATTTAATATAGACACACACATATATGCACACACAGAGACGGTTGACTTTCCTTCCAGTTTGAATTCCCAGCCTCCCAATGCTTATTACCAATAGAAAAAGGGGAGCACCTGCCCCCACATTTGCTGCTGTCACTGAGAGAAGAGACAGCTAAAGGCCAGCCTTTGCCTTTTTCCCAGGGGCCAATTATCCCTTTCCCAACACCAGCCTGGATCTGTGTTAATCCAAGGGTTTAGGCATCTTGCCTATTTCTAAGTAAAAAATTCTTCTCTAAACCAAATTTAGGTCAGAACACAAAGTTGAGAAAATAAAGGTAAAGCAAAGAAAGACAGTTTATTGTAGATCATTTTTTAAAGTCAAGTAACCCATGAAACTGAAAGAGTATATATATATACTGACTCTAATTTTAGATTGGGGCTAGGGTATTAGGAACAATTTAGAGAAAGAAAAAAAATTTGAGAAAGAAAGCCATTTATCTCTCTACTTTAGCAAGCTAAAGACCCATCTAACCTATACACAGTTAACACTTCAGGAATCTTATGAATCATACACTTTGGTTACTAAGTGACAGACATGGGGGTCTCCAGATATTAATCTGCTCTATATGAAGTCCTCAATCCTAGTGTCTTCCATGAAGGAGGAAAAATAAATAGCAGCCTGAACTTCATAGGATTTCTAAAAGTGGATATATATAAATATGAATCACTAACTTTTACACAGGCAAAAGCAACTTGAAATTTTACAAAGCACTATTATTCAATAATTCTTGCATTTCCTAATATATTTTATTAGATGGATAGAAATAAATTCCGGTCATACATTCTTGGGTTCACTGGGACAAATACTTACCAGGCTATTCTTAAGTACATTAAGATTAATCGTTCAACACACTTGCCTGAAAAAAGCCATGTGGAGTAAAAGGAAAAGGCACAGAACTAAGGGTCAGGGAAGGTTAGTTCCAGCCCTGCCTCCATCATTAAGCAACTGTTTGATCCCGCCATGCCCGTCACCTCGACAATGTGACATTTGATATTTCCAAAGTGAAGTCGCTGAACAACATAACTTCTAGCTCTAAAATATTAAGTTAGTTCTCATGATCACTTTTTAAACATTTATTTCTATCAAAGTGATACATACTCAAGACTGCCTTCTAAAGGTCAGTCTCTAAGATAAAAAGGTCAATAAAAAATGCAGGAGCTTCACTTATGGGATAAGATATAAAGAAAAGAAGAAAAAGAAACTTTTGGTTTGTATAAAGAAAAAAATAGAGCCAGTCTGGTGTGGCTCAGTAGTTGAGCATCGACCTGGGAACCTGAAGGTCACAGTTTGATTCCCAGTCAAGGTATAGGCACAGGTATCAGACTCGGTCCCCAGTAGGTATGCAGGAGGCAGCCGATCATGATTCCCTCTCATCACTGATGTTTCTATCTCTCTCCCCCTCTCCCTTTCTCTCTGAAATCAATAAAAATAATATTTTTCAAAAAAACAGAAATGAGAGTGTGTTCCCCCTTTAATTGGCTTTTAATAACCAGAATTCCTATTAATCAGAATTCTACAAATCCTTTACACAGTCATATCTTAAATCCAAATCAGTCTGGCTCCTTTCTTTTACCTGCTTCTCTTCCAAGTTTATTATGATGACAAAATGCTTTCTGACTTAATGTTATCATACTTTGAAAAAAGGTAATGATATTTAACTTATTAGCTATCAGATGTAAGCAAGTTACTCTTCACTTCAATGTCTAAATGTGTAAAATAAGGGTAAACAATCTCTCTCAAGATTGTTGGCAACATTAAATAAAATACATGGAAGTATGGTTAACTAGCACAAAAGCACTTTCAATAAGCATTTGTGTTTTAAAGCTTTGACAATTATCTGCAAAAGTTATGGAAACACCTCATTCCCTAGTTAACAGCATATTTACTTCAAACAATGTAGTCAAAAAATAACACAAACAGAATGTTTAAATCATGGAACTGTTAGTACTATTTTTAAAATTCTGTAAATATGTATTGAGCATTTACTATGTGCCAGATACTATAATGCTAGCAAACATCCTGGAAAAGGGGAAAGAGTAGTTCTGCAGGCAAAGCCTGGGTTTTTAAAGCCTAGCTCAGCCATTTACTAGCTCTGTGATTTGGGGCAACCGAATTTACCTCTCTGAGCTTCTTTGTAAATCTACTTTGGAGAGCTATTCTGAAGATTAGAAATAATGTATGTGAAGTACCTGATACATAGCAGAAATTATTTTTTGTTGTTTTAGGATTTGTTTTTAATAGACCAAATTTAAAAGGTGGGTAGCATATCTTGACTAATGATTAAGCTACATATGTCACCAGAACAGAGAAGGCCATAAAGAACCACATCAGAATGTTACCACTTCCAAAGTCCAAAGTGATGTGGTTCCTAACATGTGGTATACTCAACTGCTGGTGAAACATATTTCTAATCTATTTCCTTCTCCATTTTTACCTTGACAAACCATTTTGCAAACTCACACTCTACTTTTTTCCATTTATTCCCCAGGCCCACTTCAGTCCTAGTTTGGGACATTCTGCATATCCTCCATGAAATGGCAAAGTCCTGTGAGCAACTGATGATTATTAAGATTGCATTAGGAGATAATTAGAGCTAACGCTGGGCTCAAACTACTATTACTAACGTAATGGTTGACTTGCAGAACTGGAAGCTGCTAAATAATGATTAGAATCTTAAAGTAAAATATTTTAAAATATTGTAAAATCCAGCCAAGAGGTAAGTTACATTTACATTTTCTCTGTTCCCCAAAGCTATTTCTTCTAAATACTCTAACTGATAAAACATTTGAAATATACACAATGAGGCAAAACCATAGTAAAAAGGTAAAGCAGTCTATCCCTAAATTCCATCGAATCATACAATGGTCTTTACGTCAACACAGTTTTTCAGAACTAAGAACATGTTCCTATCTTTAAACCATCATGTAAGGTCAGTTTGCTCCAAGTTAAATAACCACGTATTAAAACTGAGGACATCATGAGTCAATCCAGAATTTAATTTTATAGCTTCCACATTCAAGAAAACCAGTGTCTCTAAGTCATTCTTGTGGTATATAATTCATATGTAATGAATATCCATAGCATAACAGTTATATTTGCAGTATACTCTTCCTACTCTTAGCCAGTTTGACATAATGCATTTTGAAATACTAATGTTCTATCAAAATTAGCTGTCTTATACATTTTCAAGAATCAAATCCTGGGCATGTTTTAAAGTTTTTTCTCTGAGGATAAGGCACCGAGGAGTCACCAAAATGCAAAAGAATCTCTTTCTTGTAAATACTAATCTAGAAGGTCTTTTTAAAATTCAGAACTCGGAGTATGATAATACAAGCATTTCCACATTAACAAACCCAGAAGTTTCTTCACAAAGCAAGCCCAGACATCCTATAAAAATATGAGTATTACTGCTCATTTTTACCACTATAAATTGATGTTAATTATAATGTAGTTCAGTCCAATTCCCTCCTAATAGCCTTGAGAATGAAGGGAAATGCACAAAATTATCAAATGTCACAAGCAGCAGCTTGAGACCGGCGGAGGAGAGAGAAAGCCAGACAGACAAAAGGAAATAGGAGAGAGAGGAGATATATGGTTGAAACTAAAATGCTTGCAACCACTAGACCTTGGCCCAGCCCCTGACCCACTGAAATCTACTTCATGTCATCTATCTTCCCAAAAAACAAAACGATAACAATGGAAGCAAATTGATCTTGAGCAGGAAATTTAAGTCCTGCGTTCAGTTTGAGATTTGCCAGAAAGAAGAAGAGCTAAACAGAAAAAGATCTAAACAGTAAAAAGCGGTGCGCGTGTACGCATGTGTGCGCTAGTGGGGAAGAGGGGGTACATAAAAGCCAACTGTGCCCAAGTCTCAGCAGCGATGCTACCCCGCGAGTACTAGGAAGGCAGGGCCCTGGGCCCTCCCTCTGCCCGGAGGGAGGCGGGGGTCGTGGGTTCTCCCCCGCATACCCTCGAGACTGGGAAGCCTCTGAGTGAGGGGCGAACGGGTGGCGGCCGTCGGCGCCCCGGGAACCCGCGCGGAGTGGCTCCAATAAGACCTTCCCGGCCAGCACCTGGGACCGCGGTCTCCCAAGGAGGCGCACACGGGTGGGGCGGGAAGGCAAGAAGCTCTTCCTCCGCTCGGGAGGAAGGAGGCAAGGGGTGGCCCCGCATCCCGTCCCCACCCCGGCGCATCAATTACCCGTGAGGTTCCTCAGCACCGTCCCGTGGGCCCAGAGGCTCAGGACCTGCTGCACCGACAGGTTGATCATGGAGTGGTCACCCCCCTCCGCCTTCATCTTCCCTGGGGGGCGCCCGCCGCCTTCTCCTCCGGCGCCGGGGGGCGGCAGCGGGTGTGACGCTCCGGGGGCGGCGGCGGGTGCGCGGCTCCTCCAGGCCGCCGCCGCCGGGCAAGGCTGCGGGGCGCCGGGCTGGGCGCTGCTGCTGCGGCCGACGGACCTCCGAGGGGGGCCGCTCAGCGCGTCTCCCAGGCAGCCCCCTCCCCGCCGTGGAGACATTGAGGACGGCGGACGGGGGAGGGGAGGGGGCCCGGCGCTGTCCCCGCGCGGCCCCCCAGCGAGGACGCGGTGCGGAGGAGGCCGCCGCCGCTCCCGCTCAGGGGCAGCACCGCGCCGCGGGGATCGGGCGCGCTGGGAGGCCGAGGTCACGCCGGGAGGCGCGGAGTGATGGGCAGCCGGCAGGTGCAGCCTCCGACGGAGTCCAGCTCATCGCCTCCGGAGGCTCGGGAGCTCCGGGACCCGGAGGAGGCTGCGGCGGTGGCCCAGGCGGCACCTGCCACCAGCCTGCCCACCCTCCGGCCGCCGACACTCGAGGAACCGCCCCCTCCACCCGCGGCCGCCGGCGGGCCGCTCGTGCGCGCGCGCACGGGTCCCCTCCTCCCTGCCTTCGCCGGAGCGGCTGCGCATGCTCAGTCTCCCCCTTCCCGCGACCCGCCGCCCTCGGACACCCGGCCGGCCCGGAGTCCTCCTCCTTCCCCTCCCCGCGCGGAGCTCGCGAGGCCGACAGCGCCGGGAGCGGCCCGCAGAGGGGCGGAGGGAAGCGCAGCTGCGTCACTAGCGCCACCGCCGGCTCCGCTGCTGATTGGGTGCTGCCAGGACCCGCCCCGCACTCCCCGCCCCAGGCCCAGGCGCGCGCCCTGGGAGCCGCAGCCCTTGACCCAAGGCGCACTGGGCGCGCTGGGCGCCGGCTGGTGCTGAAGACCAGCCCTGACCTACGACGGGGGCAGCAAATGGTACTGAACTTCCTGAGATCGAGTCTGTGATAGTTCAGATCTTTGGCTCCTAATGAAATACTTTTGATAACAAATGTTTGCATCCTTTTTTGAAAGGCGTCAATATCTCAACATTTTACATTTATTAATTGAGTTGTTTTGTGTGTGTTTTTTCTGAGTCAGGGGAGTTGGATATATTTTAAAGAATATATTTTAAAGCTACTAAAGCGGAAATAGACTCCCTTTCTCATTCATCCAGTCCTTCTGGCAGCAAGAACTTGGGCCTCCTGCGGTTCCAGGTTCCCAAATACTTACTGACATAGGGCTCCAAGGTGTCCTATTCAGCGCCATTCCCTGATCTAGCTCTTTCTGCATTGCAGTATTCTTTTTATTTGAATTGTAAAAAACAAACAATTTTTTTAAAAAGCTTTCGTTATTTTTCTCCCCTAGGGCTTAAACGTCCTTCCCCTTTTTTGCTACCTTTTTTCATGCCCAATGTTAGCCGGAGGAGCTATCTAAATTCCAACTATGACAAACTAAACTCCTTGAAGTTTGAAACCTTTTAACTTGAAAAATAAAAATTAAGTTTTGGCCATAACATAAATATGCACTAGCCACTGCCATTTCCAACTCCATCCTTTTCAATGGCTCTGCCGTCTGTAAAGAAAATGTACAAAGGGAAGGGAAGTTCATGCTGTAGCAAAAGCAAGTATACTCGGCAAAACCTGTAGGGTTGAGTCACCTGTACGATGGTACTTTGGTGACCACTTTTAAAGTAATAATTATACATACAGATTTATGTATATGTATATAGTAGATGTATTGGTGTCACAATACAAAAAAAAGGGGGGGGGGGGCGGGAATTGTTGTATCACTAATAGGAATTGGACCCAAACAAATAATGTAGAGTTTATCTTCCTCCCAGTATTTAGAATTATCTGGATCTTAATTAATTAAAGATTATAGAATATCAGACTTAAAATTGGCCTTAGCATTTTTCTAATTCATTTTATTTAATAACTAAGGAAACTGATTCTGCAGAATTCAGTTTCTTGACAGAGGTAACACCACTTCAGAGGCTAATTTGTGAATTCCCAGTCTATTAATTCTTTCTACCAACCACACTGTGTTTCTTAACTCACTATTACTCCATAGCTTTAAGATTCTGGATGGGGAGGTGCAGGTTTTGTAATGGTGGTATTAAGAGAGTCGACATTATATGATTAGTGGTATTTAAAAAAATCAGGCAACCACATTCAGTGAAGTGTTCATAGCAAACTCTGAGCAACAGCTCATTAAACTCTCACATCAGGAACTTTTAGTTGTTTTAGAATCAATTGGGATTCTCAGTATTATACACTATTGTTTAAAACATAGCATTCATGCTCATTGCAGTGGTATTTACAATAGCCGAGATCTGGAACTAGCCCAAGTGCCCTTCAGTAGATGAGAGGATAAGAAAACTGTGGTACATTTACACAATGGAATCCTACTTGGCCATATAGAAGAAGGAAATCTTACCCTTTGTGACAGCATGGATGGGTCTAGAGATTATTATGCTATGTGAAATAAGCCAGTCAGCAAAAGACAAATACCATATGATCTCACTCAGATGTTAAATCTAATGAACAAAATAAACTGATGACCAAAATAGAAACAGAGGCATGGATACAGACTGACAGATGTCAGAGGGGAAGCAGGATGGGGGGACTGGATGAAAGAAGGTGAAGGCATTAGAAAAACACGTGTATACATAACACATAGACACAGAAAACTGTGGTGATAGCCAGAGGGAAAGGAGCGTGGGGTGTGTGGAGGTGGGCAAAGGGGAAAATGAGGACTGAAAGAGACTTTGCTTGGGGCAATGGGGACACGATGCAGTGTGCAGATGATGTTTCATTGAGTTGTGCACTTGAAACCGGTATGGTTTTGTGAACCAATGTCACCTGAATAAATTCAATTAAAAAATAAAAATAAAATATTCAGAACCTGGGACAGTGCCTAGCACATGATGTTCAATAAATACTTGCTGAATGAATAATTGAATGAACGTCAGAGAAAGTCAGCATTTTTCTTGTTTCACATAATTTTTTAAATGTAATTTAAGTGTTGATTTCAGAAATGAGAAAGTAGGACACAGCAATGAAGCCTCTGGTCCAGCAGCTATCAACCTTTTTCACCTCATGGCACCATAAACTAATTACTAAAATTCTGCGGCACACCCAAAAATATATTTGTTACCAGTCTGACAAAAAACAACAACACACTAGGTATTATTTTGATTCATTCACACCAGATGGCCACTGTTGTGTTGGCTGTTGTCATTTTTTTTTTTTTTTGACAATTTAAGGGGAGGAGGTCAGTGCCCCTGACTAAAATAGCCTGGGATTGCATGTTTTAAAAATTCTGGCAGCACAACAGTTGAAAAGCACTGCCATAATGCACTTTGATAACCCAACAACCTTCCCCCTGCTTTTCAGTTTCATTCAATTTAATACATATTTATTTGGCATCTATTACTTATAATGTTCTATGCTAGGCATTATCTATAGGATTTGAATATTAATAAGTTCTCTACTCTCTAGGCTAATTCATTGAATTTAATTTATATTTGCCTTAATAAGGCTAATGATATCCACTGCGTTGGAAGCCTGTGCTCTTAAGGGAATTGAACATTTTCCAACAGCCAGAGTTATAAAACACAAAAGTGAGTTAGTGCAAATGAACATTGTATAATTTCTTTCCTTGCAGATTTTAGATATTGAGTTAATACAACAATCAAGTCACATTCCATCCAGAAATCAGGGAATACCCCAAATGAATCCTAAAGGTCTCTTTCGACCCTGTACCCTTCAGTATAAAATAAACAATTTATGAACAGTTCCTGGTTTATTTTTTACACACAAGTGAGGGAACACTCATAAGTCTTATCCATCCTATTAAATGTCCAGATAGAGCCCAGAATAAAGCTTTTAAAATCAGTTAGACTACACAATGTTATTGATCCTTAGAGAAAATGTTATTAAAGACATTTTTTCTCCACTTTATTATCTTTCTTGCTGTACGGTACTATATAAGAATTGTTAGAGGCACCTCTCAACATCACCAGAGAGGTGTTAGTGGACAGCCCCCTCAGTCAGTGGGAGAGGGCTGTTCCCAACCTCAATCCTTGTCTCTGCATATAGATGAATTTATATGAGAGACCTTGACTGCATTGTGAAAAGTCAATTAATTAAAGAATGCACCTTTATTGCAAAAGCAAAGCAAGCAGGCAAACCTATACATCTGGCTTACGAAGCCCAAACAGGCTCTTAGATAATCTGAAAAGCAGGTTGGGTGGGGGTCCGAGGTGTTATATACCCCTGGTCCATAGGTTTCAAAATTCATTTGCTGACTATTTTGGTACAGATTAATTCTCAAGGTCCCATCCCCCTCCTTTTTTTAATTTTTATTTTATTTTTATTTTTATTTTTTTACTTTGTTGTGGCCGTCCCAGAATTGATGAGAAGCACCTGGCAACTTTATCATGCCAAGTCTTAAGACTGCTGGCTTCTGTGCTTAGGAAGTAAAACTGCCCTTTCTTCCTTTCCCCTTTCCCCCTTCCCTTTCTGCATTCTCACACAGAGAGGTTTTTTAACCATTTGTTCTCATGTCCTTGGCTGGGGAAAATAATGGCTTGCTAGTTACAAGCTGGCCTCAAATTGCCCACACTGTTTGGCCTTGTTTTAACTTTCCTGTCTCAGTTTCTCTTTTCCTCCTGCCCTGGAATCCTGTAACAAAATGACAGAAGTAAGAGGAAGAAAGCCATGCATACCATTCCAAACTGTGTACTGCGCTGAAACTTACATGTTGAAATGTTTCTCAGAACACCTATTAGTGTCAAGAGACATTTCCACCACAGTAAATCAGAGGAACAAGGTAAAGAGGATTTTCCTGCTGTGAAAGCTCTCACTCTAAAAACGATTTTGCAAAATGACATCAGAATTAGAAGCATTCCAAATTGCCCACCTAGACTATTTGAAAAACTTAAATTTCTGGGACTAGGAAATATAAAAATATGTCCTGTTTAGTCTCCTCAGTAACATATGGTACACCTAGGGTACCAGGCTAACGATATGAGGCTTCGGAGGGATCCAGCCCTGCCCAGACAAGGAAGGGGAGCTGCTTTGTAATGGCAGTGGGATAGCACCTCCACCCACAGTCATCCAGAGTCAGGACATGTGCCTCTAGCTCCATTTCCCACTTCATTCTTGTTCGCTCCCTCCATCGATGCATTCAAACCACCTACCTACCAAGTTCTCCCAGCTATCACCCCCTTACAATGTAGCTCCTGGTTTGTTACCCCAAGTCTAAAAACAAATATATTATGACCCACCTAGAACCCAGTCCTGGCAGGAAGAAGAGAGGCAGGTACAGAGGCAGGTGCATTTTAAGTTTATGCTCCAGTATGGTCCATGTCACATATACTCACATTTATTTGGTCAAAGCAGAAAGGTCAAACACAAACTGAATAAAATAAGAAAGTATATTTGGTTTACTGGGGAAAATGGCAAAAGTGAGTAGGTGGAGGCAACAAATAATTTGAACAAATAATTCAGTCTGACACAAACTGAGTAAGATCAGTCTACAGATAATATATTTCTGCTTCTTTCTCTTTTTTTATAGTTTGGGCTTTATTAATTTTGACTCCATATTTTTTAGTGGCTAGATAATCAAATATGTTAGATTTTAATTATGATTTTACTTTTCAAATTAAAAATGTCAATTTGTATTATAGAATTCTTTTA